GAAGCAAGATAAGGTTATTATTTCTTAACAAATAGGAATGGCCCTAGCAAAAATGTGCCCCTTTCCTGTAAACACTCGCTTTTCAAGGCATTTTTTACTGTTTGCATTTCCTGGTCACTATTCTGAATTCCACACTGGGGGGGAAGGGGGGCGGTTTCCAAGGGACTAGCATACAATATGCTACATTGGTACCTGGAGCTTGTAATAACTTTTGCATTGGTTCATAGAAAGAAAATCCCTCCATTCCTATATTAATAAACATAAAAATGGAGCCAGAAACTTACCAGGCTCCAGGGCAGCATCTGCCTCTTCTGTTTCTGCTGCCAGTTCCACAGCTGGCCATTCCTCCTCTGGGCCGGTGTCAGCAGCAGAGTCACTTCCCTGGCCTCATTCAGTGCCTACTGCTGACTCCCATCAGTTCTCATGGTGGATTCTGGGGCCAGAAGGACACCATCCCAGCTGATCAGTCACTGTGCACCATCATTGGCTCCATGTGGGCGCAGTACCCAGCCACTAGTCAAACTCATCATAAAATGGGCATGATGTTGATAAATTGCCCGATGTACGGTGCTGGTCCCCTGGTATTTTGGTATTCAGTCCTGAGCTATGTAATCTTCTCCCTGCACTGGTCATTGGTCAGCTAAATTTCCAATGCTGCCTGCTTCTTTGCTGTTTGCTGGTAGGCATGGTCATTCCAATCCTTTTATTAAATCCACTGTTTTGCTCCAGAGATTAACCAAAATCTGGCTCCTGCAACTATTAATGTTGATTTTTAATACATATTGGAACCTGAGGGAGATCCAGAAGACTGGGAAAAAGTTTCGATGATAAGGATAATGGTACTGAAGTAATATACTTACACTTCTGTAGATCAACATTTTGATTACAAAACTATAACTTCAACATGACACATATTCAATGGATTAAAAGCTGGTAACTGAAACATTTCAAAATGTAATTGTAAATGGGGAATCATCATCGAGCAGTTGTGTTTCTAGTGGAGTCGAACAAGCATTGTTTTTGGCCCTACGCTATTTAACCTTTTTATCAATGACCTGGATGAAAACATAAAATCAACTGATAAAGTTTGAAAATGACACAAACATTGGGGAAGTGGGAAATAATGAAGAGGACAGGTCATTGATACAGAGTGGATCACACTGGATGAGTTTTAATGCAGCTAAATGTAAATGTATGCATCTAGGAACAAACAATGTAGCCATAATTACAGGAAGGGGGACTCTATTCTAGGAAGCAGTGACTCTGGAAAAGGTGGATAATCAGCTGAACATGAGATCCCAGTGCAAAATTGTAGCTAAAAAGGCTAATGTAATCCTGGGATGCATAAACAGGGAAATCTCCAGTAAGAGTAGAGAGGTTATTTTATCTTGAATTTGGCACTGGTGTGACCCGTACTGGAATACCGTGTCCAGTTCTAATGTCCACAATTCAAGAAGGATGTTGATAAGTTGGAGATGATTCAGAGAGCCATGAGAATGATTAAAGGATTAGACAACATGCCCTATAGTAATAGATTCAGGGAGCTCAATCTATTTATCTTAACAAAAGAGAAGGTTAAGGGGTGACTTGATTACAGTCTATAAGTATCTCCATGAGGAACAAATATTTAATAATGGGCTCTTCAATATATCAGAGAAAGTTATAACATAATCCAATGCCTGGAAGTTGAAGCTAGACAAATTCAGACTGGAAATAAGGTATACATTTTTAACAGTGAGAGGAATTAATCTTTGGAACAATTTACCAACTGTTGTTGTGTATTCTCCATCACTGACAATTTTTAAATCAAGATTGGATGTTTTTCTAAAAGATATACTCTAGGAATTATTTTGGGGAAGTGCTATGAACTGTGTTATATGGAGGTCAGACTAGATTATCAAAATGGTCCTTTCTGACCATGAAATCATTCATGACCTTCATTCCTTTCCTTTGAACAGGACTCACAAGGGGCTAAAAGCCCCTTGCACCATCTCCTCATTCCACTGTGTCTGTTCCCCAACTCACCCCACTACCTTCACATTAGGTCCAGGGATGTTCTGTCTTTGTGTGTGTGTAACCTGAACTGTGTGTAACATAGTGATTTGACTAGAGAGTCTGTGTGGTCAAAAATAACACATGTGGGAGTTGTGTGTTCAAATCCAGTTCTCCCAATGACTCACTGTGTTGCCTTGAGCAAGTTGTGTAACCTCTCTACCTTGTTTTCCCATTTCCAAATTAGGGAGATATCACAAGAGTGTTGTGAGAATTAATGTTTAGAAGGTGTTGTAATTATGTGTATGCACTTCCCTGAAGTTATCTATTCCCCTAACTAGCTGAGCTAGTGAGACCTACTCCTTTAGCACCTACAATACAAACCTGTGAGTTCTGAGCAATGATTTCTTCCCTTCGTATTGCTAGTATGCTGTTAGTAGAAAACTAGCAACATCAGTGTATACCTTTTGCCACCAATTCTTGCCTATTTTTCCTCCCACTGCTTTGCATTTATAAGAGTGCAAAGTTAATGTAAAATAGCACCAGGCTGATTTGGAAGCCATTCACAAACATTTTGGATGGATGCAAATGACAATACAGTAACTCCTCACTTAACGTTGTAGTTATGTTCCTGAAAAATGCAACTTTAAGTGAAACAATGTTAAATGAATCCAATTTTCCCATAAGATTTAATGTAAATGTGGGGGGTTAGGTTCCAAGGAAATTTTTATGGGGCAGACAAAAGGCATTATATACTGTACAGTACTGTACTGTACTGTGGTGGGAAGGTGCCCCTGGCTTACCCCTGGGGCTCAGGGCTGGGGGTGCAGGGTCTGGGAGGGAGTTAGGGTGTGGGAGGGCGCTCAGGGTGGGGTGCAGGGTCTGGGAGGGAGTTAGGGTGCAGAAAGGCACTCAGGGTGGGGGTGCGGGAGGAGGCTCAGGGCTAGGGCAGGCAGAAGGTGCAGAGCACTTACCTGGGGCAGCTCCTGTTTGGTGCAGGGGGTGTGCAGGTGGCTCTGTGCAGCGCGGCACTGCCCCCATGGCCGCAATTCTGGGAGCCGCGATTCTGGGAGCCACCCCCGGAGGCATGGCCACCTGGAACACAGGGGCTTTAGGGGCTGCAGGGCCCTGGGCTAAGGGGGCCCCAGGGCCCTGGCCTGCAGCTCTAAAGCCCCTTTCAGAATGCAGCCCTGTGAGCACGGGCTGGAGGACTCAGGAGGAGCAGGGGCAGCCGCGCAGCCAGTGGCCGGAGAGAAGTGGCACTTTCCCCTTCAAAGCCAGCTGGAGACAAGCGGCTGCCCCTCCTCCTCCTGAAGGGGAAAGCGGCCGTTTCTCTCCGGCCACTGGCTGCGCGGCTGCCCCAGCTCCTCCTGAGTCCTCCGCCCCATGCTCGCAGGGCCGCATTCCGAAAGGGGCTTTAGAGCTGCAGGGCCCCGGGGTCCCCTTAGCCCAGGGTCCTGCAGCCCCTAAAGCCCCTGCGTTCCAGGTGGCCCTGCCTGCCGGGGGGAGGGGCAGCTTCCCCGCTTGCTCGCTCCCTTCCAGAAAGTCCTAAGCGCCGGGAGGGAGGGAGGAAGTAGGGTGACCAGATGTCCCGATTTTATAGGGACAGTCCCGATTTTTGGGTCTTTTTCTTACATAGGCTCCTATTACCCCCCACCCCCGTCCAGATTTTTCACATTTGCTGTCTGGTAACCCTAGGAGGAAGGGAGGGGGAGGAGGTGGAGAAGAGGAACTTGTGCAGTGCTCCCTTGTAAAGTCAGCCAAACGACGTTATAAGGGAACATTGCACAACTTTAAACGAGTATGTGCCCTAATGGAGCAGCAACATAACTTTGAAACAATGTTAAGCGGGAGGACAGTAAGTGAGGAGTTACTGTACAAGATGCAACATAATCCGGAGAATCAGGTCCTATATAAATGTATCAGCATTCCCTTAGGAAACTGCATGTTACATCTCCTGAGATTATATTAATGAGCAAAATTTTAAATAAGTACAGGGCCTTTGGGGGTGTCTTACAATCTAAAGTCCCTTAAATTCACACTTGTGGCATCCAAGAAATTAAGGCACATCAGAGGATTCTTTCTTACAAGTGTATAATTGAATGTAGAGATTCAATTTATTCTAAATAACGCAACAATAAGAGTATCCTTAAAGGCTCAAAAAGGAGGGGAAAACTTAGTTTAGGAGAGAACAGAAAAATTAGCAGCAGAGGTAAAGACAAGAACTCTTTTGATTAGCTCACAAATCCTGCACTCTCATAGCTAATCATTTGGTGCAGATTCCACTTGTCAGGTTGAAAAGGAAATAAAGTATAAAGAGAAATATTAAGGATGTCAGGGGATTGTTTACAGCAAACAGTCTTGCATGCTCATCTGCACAAATGCAAGCTTTAGCACTTCATTTTGAATGAAACCAGTGCTGATGGTACAAACATCTTCATTTGCTCTGAAAGGCTGGAGAAGAAGAGAGAAGAGACAGTTCTAAATTACATCTCAGAAAAATTAATTCAAGTGATGTAAAAAAATTAAGACTTCATGTGATAATAGCTAGGAAATTTTAATGTAAAGCTAAAACTCCAAGTTTGTCCATGGCCTTAAGCTTATTGTATTGCAGCACATATAAAATATTTATCATTAACAGCTATTTTTTCCTTATAAATCTTTCATTGCATCATTATTGGTTAAAACAATGATACTATGTGTGTACTTTACAATATGTTCTCTTCTGTACATATCATCATGGTGGCATCATAGCCATAAAATACCACCATCTATGATAAACAATGCAATAGATTTTTTGTTGTTTGTTTCTTGGTTTGTTTGTTTTTTGCTAACCAATAGTGTACTTTTTGTCTTATATGAGGAGTAAAACTTCAGAGTGTAGATTCAACCCTAAGAGATTATGTTTTTTTCAGTGTCTCAGAGCTTGTCTTCACTACCAGGGTAAGTCAACATAAGTTATTCTATTCCGGCTATGTGAATAATGTAACTGGAGTTGACGTAGCTTAGGTCAACTTTCCCCAGTGTCTTCACTGCGCTGCATTGACTGGAGACACTCTCCAGTCAACTTACCTTACTCTTCTCAGGGAGCTGAAGTACCAGAGTCGACTGGAGAGCGCTCTGCCGTCATTTTAGCGGGTCTTCACTAGACCCACTAAATCGACACCCGCTGCATTGATTGCATCAGCGTCGATCTCCCCGGTAATGAAGACAAGCCCTCAGTGTAAACCAGATTAGAGCACCCCTAATAGCAGAAAGCCTGCCCAGAAGGAAATTTGGTTGGTATTAAGTTCAAGGTCTCAGTTCTTATCTTTAAGGTGCTCAATGATCTGGGCTCAGCATATCTAAAAAAAATCTAATCTCTGGTGGAGAAGACCATGGCTGAAAACTCCATTCCAAAGGCACAATGGAACTTTCTATCATAAGGCTATGTGCAGAGACAGAGCTTTCTTGGGGTTGGTCCAAGACACTGGAATGAACTCCCAGAGGAAATGGGGATCATCACCAACTTCACCTTCTGCTACAAATACAGTGTGCACTTTTTCTACCTTGCCTTCTCTAACACAAACATATAGCAGTGCGTATACAAAAACAAAATAAAAACCCTACCGAAACAAAACACTCCACAGTACGCACAATTCCACCACTGTGGAAAGGATGAACCACATGTGAGTGATGTTAATCGTGTTGGCCCTCAGATACTACAGTGAGAAGGGCAGAATATGAACATGTACAGAATATAATAGCAGTGAAAAATAATCTCTCCCTTTTCTAAGCAGCCTGCAGCCAGCTAATATGGCCCCCAAAAGTGGACAGTACTGGCCAGAGAAAAGGCATGACCAAAGCATCTAGGAAATGCATTGATTCAGCACATATCCTGGTATCCTCCACAGGAAAGATTCCTACTTAAGCACTACTTACATCTGCACTTCTATAAAACAGGGTGTCGGTACAAACATCTCTTATGCTCTCAGGGCTATGATTCCACCCATGGGGCAAAGTGGGCATAGACCTTAGCTTTCCTGAATTATGGGAAGAAGCCACCAACTTCTTGTGTGGATTATAATGTATGCGGTTAAGTAAAGTGTGGACCAGTTTAGCTGTACTAGGAAATAATTGTAGTAACTGGGAGAAATTAGCTGACAAATATTGACTTTGTGTAATCACAGTCTGAGTTCTTATTGGCTAGAATGTGTCATTAATTTGCTTTTTATTCACAGATTGAAAGGAGGAATCTGTATTCTCATTTGTTGGATATCCGTATGGATTAATTTAAACAATCTTAAAGTAAACTATAAGAATTCAGAACCTAGGGGTTGGTGAACCTCATAGAGTTTGTGGGTTTGAGATCTTCATGAAGTTTTTGTGAACCCTGCAAACTCCAAAAGCTACCTTAAGTTGACACCTCATTGCCAGTAAATTATTTGTTTTTTTCCAGCGTGATTCAACTTTTTTAAAAAATGCTTTCTTGAGTCAATGGGAAGCATATGCTATAAATGAATAGAATACCAACTCATAAAAACTGGGGAGTACTGTACATGATCTATGGGCCGAATGTCTTTTTTATAGTAGAATTTCCTGTCCCCTTTTGTGCTCTTTCTTTTCACTGTTTGTATTATTTTTTCTTCTCATTGTGCCTGTTTCTGTTCCCATTGTGTCTTTTGCTCTTAACACAACAAATGTAATGTGAAAGAACCACATGGGCACAGTGGGGTCCAAATAACAAGTGTTTACTAATTATACACAACATTAAAGGCCAACCAACATCTCTCAGCTACTTTTTCACTATTTCTCCTTAGCACACCTTTAACCTACTAAGGCCCCTTTCCTGAAAACACTTTCAAATGTAAGTTACTTTATTCATGTGAGTCATCCCATAGAGCCTCAGGTCAATTGTTGACATACAAGGATTCAGCAAACATTATTTATCTGGTCCCTTTGAACTCAATGGGTACGTCCAGACTACCCGCCGTATCAGCGGGTAGCGATCGATTTATCAGGGATCAATATATCACGTCTCATTAAGACGTGATATATCGATCCCCGAACGCGCTCCCCGTCGACTCCGGAACTCCACCGGAGCGAGCGGCGGTAGCAGAGTCGACGGGGGAGCCGCGGCCGTCGATCCCGCACCGTGAGGACGGGAGGTAAGTCGGAATAAGATATGTCGACTTCAGCTACGGTATTCCCGTAGCTGATGTTGCATATCTTACATCAACACCCCCCCCCCCCAAGTTTAGAACAGGCCAATGAGACTGCCCCTAAAGCTATTCATGTGTATGTTTACTGGATTGGAGTCCCTGAGTTGGGTCAAACTTTTTAAACTTGCAGTGTTCAAATGGGTTCAGAGTCAGGCAAAATGAATTTCCCTAGCCCTGTCCAGAACATTGGCCCAGATCCTTGTATAACCTGTGCACTCTGTCCCCCTCTAGTGATAACTAGAGATTGTTGAATCTGCTACAGCCTTAGCTAAGTGAGATGTGTCTTTTAGCTCATGCTGTAGAGGCTCATGCATTAAGCTCTGGAGTTCTTAGGGTTGATTCTGGCCAACAATGACCGGCGTTACATTTACCCTCCTTGAGTCTGTTTGCACTGCTTCCCTAATCTAAGAGGCATATAGCCAGTGTAAATGGCTCCTTGGGACTGTTGTAGGCAGAAGTCCTATACAGCTGCCCCAGGGCAGATTAACTTAGGCTGTGGGCCAAACCAGCTCCCAGCTCCCAGGTTCAGGGAAACACAAAAACGGCATCAAGTCACTAATGCTCTTTCTGCTGCTTTGGGTGCTGCACTGTTCAGAGTTTGGCTGGACCTGAAGATTGTCTGCATTATGAAAGTTAAGGTAAGGATAATGAAATCTCTTGTTTCAGGGTGTAAACTGCCTGCAGAGGTAGGTATTCAGGAATTACTTTTATCTCTGTAATGCATTTCACAATGAGCTAGATGTACTAATACAGGCAGGAGGAATAACCTTCCATATAACTGGTCATTGCTAGAGAAGCAGAATGCTAGATTAGCTGGATCAGTGGTCTGACAAGACAGGTCCAATGTACCCATTATCATGGCTCTGTTTCCTTTTTTTCTTATCAGTTTTTGTCTTAAAGCAGACAAAGGGGCTCAGATAATGTGTCAAAATGTAATACATTTGTTTTTGTTTTGTTGCCGCCATCTCTAACTTATTTGTATTTCTAAAGACGATCATGAATAGTTTTGATAGCCCCCTGGTGACTATCTTGACAAGAACTTTTGTCCTTAATTAGGTTCTGCTTAAAGATAATAAATATTCCCTTACAGACTTTTCACTCAATTATATGTTACCCCAAAGTATATGTAAATTTAGAATAAAATCCAAGCAATTTGCTTTAACCCAGCATGATAAATAATAACCAGAGGTTTCATCAGAGATCAAACACTAGCTGCTGAGCGTGGAAATGAAACTAATTACAATTTTGATGTTTTTGAGAAGAAGAAAACTGCAGTCTCTCTCTCATAAAGTCTCTCTCATAGGCACTGGTTTTAATCAGATCTTTTTGACTTCTGAGCATCTACCTTCACATGTCCTGAAGATCTTCTACACAGCTCAAGGAGTTCATGCCATGCACAGCAGTTGCCTTCTTAGGATGCTGAAAATATAAGGGTACTTACTGGTATGTGGCAAGGATTATGGAAGAATTCAGAATTCAATATGGCCATAGGGACTTCGTTTTCTTTTATGTATACATTTTAGACCTTTCTGATGAGTGAAAAGATCCACCTTTAGAATTTGCATTGTGCATTATTCTGAAACATGGTTAGACAAAATACAAATGGACATCTTTTTACTTCATTCTATAGCTTCCTCTGCTAAATTGCAACAAATAATCATGTAGTATCAAGGACAGTTTACTCCCAGTGAATGCAGAAGTATAACAATGGCAGCAATGTTGATACAGGACATCACCAAGGAGTGTGAATTTCACCTTCATTTCGACATGAGCGACACTCACACATACATTTTTCAATTCAATTTGAAATATTCCACCGACATGACAAACTAAATAATTGTTGCCAATTTTTTTAAAAAGAGACTTTTTTTCTAGCTTCATTATTTCATCTCATCCCAATCTTCAAATACTGAATCCATTTCATTTCACTGGGACCTTGTTTAATTGCCTTTTGGATGTAGTTGATTTAGTTGGAGATTGGTCCTGCTTTGAGCAGGGGGTTGGACTAGATGACCTCCTGAGGTCCCTTCCAACCCTGATATTCTATGATTCTATGATTCATTCTTTGTTCAAATTTACTTAATGTTACGCCTTACTGAGCAAATGTGTAAAAAGATTATGGTTATGAACACACAAATGTTGGTGTGATTGTATGCTGAAGGGAGACTAGGGAGAACACTTGGCTAATGAAAAAGCAAGGAGTTACCTTCACATCATATAACCTATATGAATATTGTCCAAGGTCATATTAGAATTATTTTCAGATGGACATTTCTGTTGGAAAAGTGATCAGACTACAGGAACTACTACCAACAACCTTTTGCAGTGGCATATTTTGTTGATGTCTGAATTTTGCTCTTTGTTCCCCCATGCAAAGACATTCCACTTGTAACGTGATTCATTTTTCTACGTGAAGTATTGTATTTTCATATAACTTAGCAGTGAAAGCATCACCTGGATCTTGTTACGTTCTTGAGTTATTGCTGACAACATGCTTAGTACTATACAATGCATAGAAATGAAACCATTCCTTGGCTCAATACTGCCACCCTTCCTGTGTGTACTACCTTACCGCACAAGTCGTCTCAGTGATTTCAATGGAGCTACTTTCAGAATAACTAATCAATATTAGGGTTGCCAATTGTATAATCACACAAACCCAAACACCATTGCCCCACTCCCTGCCCCTCCCCTTCCCCAAGGCCTGCCCCTACCCCGCCCCTTCTCTGAGGCCCCACCCCCTGCTCACTCCAGCCCCCCTCACTTGCTCTCTCCCATCCTCACTCACTTTCACCGGGCTGGGGCAGTGGGTTGGGGTGCAGACTCTGGTCTTGGGGGGGTGGGGCTGAGGGGTTTGGAGTGTGGAAGGGTCTCTGTCCTGAGCCTTGGACAGGGGGTTGGGTGTAGGAGGGGGTGCAGGCTCTAGGAGGGAGTTTGGGTGAGGGAGGGGGCTCAGGGCTGGGGTAGGGGTGCAGGAAGGGGTGCAGGCTCTGGGATGAGGGGTTCGCAGTGTGGGAGGAGGCTCTGGGCTGAGCCTGGGGCAGGGGGTTGGGGTGCAAGAGGGGGCTCAGGGCTGGGGTAGGAGGTTGGGTGCAGGGGGGTGGGCTCTGGGAGGGCGTTTTGGTGTGGGAGGGTGTGCGGGGCACAGGCTCTGGAAGGGAGTTTGGGTGGGGGGTGCTGGTTCTGGGGGGTGGGGTGCGGTAGGGCGTGAGGGGGGCAGCGTTTACCTCAGGCGGCTCCCGAAAGTGACCAGCACATCCCTCTAGCAGCAGCTCCTAGGCAGAGCCCCAGGGGTCTCCCAGCAAAGGTAGCGGCGGAGTCAGCGCTCGAGGTGGGGGCAACACGCAGAGACCCCCTCGCCCCAACCCCAGGGGCTGCAGGTACGTGCTGGCTGCTTCTGGGAGTGGCGCGGGGCCAGGGCAGGCAGGGAGCCTGCCTTAGCCCCTCTGCACTGCCAGACTTTTAGCACCTAAAATCTTCCAGTTTGGCATCAGTAGCTTCCAGGAAACAGGGCCTGATTCCAGGAGACTCCTAGCAAATCCGGAGTGTTGGCAACTCAAATCAATATGAGAAAGAGGGCCCCATGATAATATTTGGATGTTGTTGATGACCTCATATTAACATTGCCTAGCACTTACCATTCCTGTTTTCAGTTGTTTATATACTTCTATGACAAAGTCAGACCAGACAGCTACCAGAGAGCAATGGAAGGCAGGGAGATTAGCCCTAGAATGGTAAAGGTCCTTTTCTCCAGGAGCTGAAAAGCGGTTACCTCAGGCCAAGTAGGGACACCTCAGTCCAATTAAGGGCTGCCTGTGACCTTCCAAAAAAGACCTCTTCTCATGAGAGACAGGGAGGACAGATGTAGAAGGGTGTATAGGCTCCTCCTGGTGGAAGGCTGCTCTCTCTCATTTTTCATGAAAAACTTCAGGTCTTGCATTCATCCCAATGCAGAACGGGGGAAAAAATTTAATCTTGAAAAGTTTCATGGGACAAGAAAACCTTTCCCTGTCCAGTTCTCCTGATGACCCAAATAGAGGTCCCAATGTTGCACATTATGGAATCTGTATTTTTCTAGTTTTCTTTTATTAAAAATCTGATTTAATTTACACAATGAGAAAACATCACAGAAACAAAATATTCTATACTTTGGTTATTTGTCATATTTTGCCTACTTTTGTCACACATTGGCTGCTTTGAAGGTTAAGGGGCACAACCAAATCAGATACAAAGAAACACTCGAGTGGCAATAAGATTTAACAAGGTAACTGCTGGTGCACGCAGGGGGAAATTATGGAACTGGCAATGCCTTTTAAAATAGGCTTATTAAAAATAATTAGAATGCAAAGGTGTTTTAATTTTTAACCTTCAGCTGTAAGCTCAGCATTCCATAGCAAAACTACTTATATTATAGAATACCGGTCAATGGAACAAAGTGTGTGAAATATATTTGGAGCCATATGGTGTATCAAGTATGATTTAAAGGCCATTTAAAACCATTGATAACATTACCTAAATAACAATTCTCCAAAGGAAAGGGAAAAGAATACCCTGTAATCCTACACTAGCAAATGGCTCAACTATGCTCATTTGATGAGTCACCACTGTAAGTAAGAAGAGCCTCAGAGGAGAAAAATGGAGAAATCAATAAGCTTTACCCACATCATCTAATCTGATGCGCTGAAGAAATGACTGTCATTAGAGAACACTAAATAAGCAACTAAAAAAGTAATTGTTCCATAACAGTTAAAAGTTCATATACTTTTATTTCCCTAATCACAAGGAAACTAAATACTTTAATGGAAGGCTGTAGACACAGAGAAAGCAAAAATATATGTCAACTACTCTCAGTGGGAGGTTTAGTGATCACCTGAACAGCGGGCATTGTAATCATCTAATCTAACCTTCTGCATAATACAGATGATATAACTTCCCTGAATTAATTCCTGTTTGACCTGTCCCCTCTTCCTACAATTTTACTTCCTGAATGATCTTGAAATAATTATGCAAGTGTCATCGCTTGGCATTTTCACTGCTGCACATACTTTTCAGCCTTCCTGCCATCTTATGATGTTATCGTCTCTGAATGCCAGAGAAAAGTGGAACAAGATTCCACAGAAGGGATTTCCCTTGCAGCAATAGCCATGCGGAAACTCTCAGAACTTCTTCTCCCAGTAATGGGGTTATTTTTAGCCCAGACACTAGAGCACAGGTGGTAGATTTTGTTTATGTTAAATATTTGATCCAAACCGATCACAGTGAATAAAATTGAACTGAAGGCAAAAACATCTACAATGAATGGAAACAAAAACAAAATTGCTTCATTTTTTTTTAGCACTTGTGTGTAATATTCAGAGGGAGTTGGTTGTGTGTGCATGTATTTGTACAAAGCGAGCAGGATGAAAGGGTGAATCTGGATCACAAATCCAGCTGTGTGCTGTGTGTATGCAGTATAATCACGTGTTGCGATACACGAGTCTATTGTCTTATTTTGAAATAACATGCCAAATGGCTAAAAATCTGTTCTATTTGGGTGGCTGACTGCCATTTTCTTGCCACAACCAATGCACGCAGTTTAGTCAATATAACTTCTCATCATTCATGGTGTTCTGAATATAAATATTGGGCCAAACACTGAGTCATGTGATCTCTGGGTGCTTCAATTCCCTATCTGTCAAATGGGGATAATGTTGTTTCCTTTCTTACACTCTTTAGAGCAAGGACTGTCTCTTATTATGTCATGTGCTTGTACAGTACCCAGCATAAGGAATCCATCTGGAATCAGGGCCGCTAGCCCCAACTGTAAGACTAATAAATAATAATAATGATGAGAGCTGCTGAGCAACTGTAGCTTCCACCAAAATCAAGGGGAGCTGCAGATTCTCAAAATCTCTCTTGTTTTGATCTATTGTGTATTCTAATGGGTGATACAGTGTGTGACACTGGCAAACCAGGTGCCAAGTCTGTAGGCATCAGCTGAGCACTGACAAATTCATAGCCGGAAACCAGACCAGCTCACATATATGTTAATATTGTTCAAGATAGGTGTTGAACTTGTAAGAATGTGTTTAGTGTTTAGATTCTATAAAATGCTTGGCAGTTGCTGCATGTATTTATCTTACTTGTAATGTCTGTATCCCATGCTATAAGGTAATATGTAAGTTTTGCTTTATAACTATAAAAAATGCCTGCTCTGAATTTGTGAACCCAGGCAGGAAAAGTGGTTCTCCCACCCATCCAGAAGAACTATCAAGACTAAATGGGCCATTGTAGAATATCACAATACAATGGCTGGGTTAATGGCCCTCTCACACCAATGAAGGTGCTATGTGCAAGGAAGCTCATTCCATCATCTTGAGTCCTGGAAGAGGAAAATAAAGATAGCTGCCATGAAGATTTTTCATCTCTTTGCTGTTCGA